GTTACAGAATTTAGTGCTTTTCTATGTATGGGAGTAAGAAAACATTTGGGCTCAGTGAATTCATTTCTTTGACAAGCACCTAGCTAACTAGGGCCAGTATCCTGTCCTTTCTTATTCTGAGTCCCCTCAGAGTATTCTGAGTCCACCATTGCGAGTGGCTGCAGAGGCCAGGCTGCAGGCTTGTCTTCACTGGGAGGTGGTGGCAGCGGCTGATGACTTGATGGTTTCAGCATTCTTTGTTTACTCATATGGTTTGCGGTATTTTTCGTTAACACATTGAGGTTTTTCAAGTTATTTATTTATTATCCTATTAATGTCCATGGGATTAGTAGAAATCTGTCATTCATTTGTGGTACTGGTATTTTTGTATCTTCTCTCTTTAATTCTTAGTTAACCTGGCTAGGGTTTTATCAATTTTATTAATCTGTTTAAGAACCAGTTTTGATTTTGCTGATTATCTCCGTTCTTTTTTGTTCTGTTCTGTTTTGTTGGCTCTCAGCCTCACTAACTTCTGCTCTGATTTGTATTATTTCCCTTTGCTTGCTTTGGGTCTACATTGATCTTCTGTTTCTAGTTTCCCTGAAGACTGTATTTGTCTTACCTTGCTTCTTTGCATGCCTTCTAAATTTCTGTTAAAATAAAGACACAGTGTATAAATTATTGGGACCCAAGTATGAGAATTTATTTTAATCTGACTAGGAATAAGGCTTTTCAATGTTTGCTGTGTCTGTGGGTAAAAGTCTTCAAATTCCTCTGGTGTTCTTGTTTTTGTCTCTCTTAACTTTGAGATTCCCTAAGTCTGTGACATGCAACTTTTTCAGCTATAATCCATTGTTAGACTGAAACCATGTTGCCGTGGCAATAAAGTATGTTGTTGGGGAGGGTCTTTTAGCAGATGATTGTCTTTCCATAACTTTTACAAGAGTTTCTCCAGTGATACAGCTTTTACCCTTCTGCCTCCCTACTCCCTTTGCTGATAGCACTGTTCAAATCTATTTTTTGGAGGCCCTGAATCCTGTTGATTATGTGTTTTTCACTCCTTAAATGAAAGAAAACATGGCTAAGGGGGATGGAATGGGAGAAATTCCCTTCAACAAATCGGGATAGGTCTCTGAAGCCATCTTTTTGACCCTGGAGCATAAACCATTGTTACAGAGAAGACTCTGTGCTTATTTAACAATGATTACTGTTTCCATTGTCCTCCCAGAGTTTTGAGGGGTTCATTTTTAGATCTTCATTGTGAAAACTGGGTCAGATCTGTGAGGAAACATTCGCAAAAGTGTGGGTCCTCCAACTGAAGCCTCTAAGCTTTTCTGTCCTTCTAGTTCGCATTGAGCCTCCAACAGTTTGTCAAAATTCCCCTTTAATGTTTCTTACCAGTTTATGGCTCAGAATGCTACTGCTCTAGGTAAGCAGATCTCCTTGTTTGTCTGGGTGTACCTGTCTCTCCAGATTTGGTTAGCCCTAAGCTATCAGTTCTCTACGGGTCCAACACAGGTCATTGATACTCACTTTTTCCAGCTTTTTCTTGTAAGAATTCTTGTGACAACACCCAGTCTCTTTACATGTAGGAGCTGAAATCCTTTAAGTGTTTGCATTTTAACTCAGCAATCTTACTTCTAGGAATTTATTCTGAAAATATATGACGAACAGAACAAAAATACAAATGTTCTAGGTTATTCATGGTGGCACTGTTTGTAATATCAAAATATAGGAAACAATCTGCATAGCCACACATAGAAGATGATTTAAAAAATGAGTAATGCAAATGAAGTTTTTATGTCTAAAATATGTTAAGTTTTCTATGAATTTTTATAGAGTGATTTCCAATATATATTTCTAAGCAAAAATAGCAAATCATAAAGAAGCATCTATTGTATCCTAAATTTATTTTGAGAAAGAAGGGAGAGTAAGTAAAGACTCAAGCATCTTTCTCAATTGTGCAATAAGAAAACATTGAGATTTTGATGTACTGAAGATGAGTAAGAACATGTTAGAAAACGTAAGTAGAAGTGAGATAGAAGAAATGGAGGAGAGAATAATACCTCTCTGAATATATGTTTATTAAACAGTTCTGACTTTTGAAAGATTGTTAATATTTTACATACTGAATAAACAAATTGACAGATTGATACATAATAGTGTGAGATAAAATTTAAGAACCATGAGAAAACTGTACTGTAAATGATAAATACAAATACAATGAAGAATATGGAGAATATAGTAAACTTGGATACAGAATATTCTATAAGTAGACTATACTCTCTTGTTAAAGGCAAAAAATACTATGGGCAATACTGATTTCTATTCCATAGGTTTCTTTTAGAATAGAAATATGGATTAGGACTTCTGAAACTACCTACTCTGATTCTATAGTTGAATGAATAAGTAAATATTTGGGGGATAATAGGAGTCAGTTATTTTATTGTCAGGCAAGGGAGTTACAAAAATGGGAAAGGGAAAACAGTAAGCCATGCCTTGGTGAATTGTAATGTAAATGTATTTGAAAAACACTTGGTTTTAGTTGGATGGATAGACAGACAGACACATAGAATATGAAGTATAGATACACCCATATACAACTTTTATATCCTAGCCTTGTTCACTGAGAGGGTTATAAGTAATGACACTGTAAAATAATGGGCAAACGTAATGGCTATGTATTTGTTACTAAACATGATTTTCCATTTAGAGGCAACAAGGATCTTTGATATAAATGACTGATTTTAGTACTAGACATAAGAAAGTTCAGGCTAATGCTAAAATATCTTTGTGTGCCAGAAAGCAAGAAAGTGCTTAAAGCATGATGGAGATGCATTAAGAGAACACAGTAGCAGCTTTAAAGGGCTCCCACTGGCCAAATATGATATGTTTTAATATCAAAACAGATAATGGTGGTAATGGATTATCATCCATAGAATAAAGTAAAATTCCATAAGACCATGGAAATAAACAAAAAGGGAAGATATTTATTATAGTTTAGTTTATAGAAACTAACAGAATGATGGAATTCAAAATTCACTGTTTGGCAAAACATCAGATAATACTAATTCAGGCAAAAATAATCACTGCATGTGGCTTTAATAATAAATAAGGGTTTGAAAAATAATGGGAAATCTGCATATCCTCAGACTCTCTCCCAGAAGATAACTTTTCATTACAAAGCCAAAAATGGAGTAACTTCACATTCATGTCTTTAACCAAGTCATCAAAGTTAACATCAGCAGTAATAGAAAAATTTGGCATCATATCATTAGCCTCCTGCTTAATACACTGAGAAAAAATAATGTGTTAATTATCTGGTATCACTGCCAAAAACATGTATTACCTGAATGTAATGATGAGGGAACATGAGATAAACCCAAACTGAGGGAGTTCTACAATAGAACTTGTTTCTGCTCTTCAAAATTTAAATGTCAAGAAAGATAAAGTATGAACTTCTCCAAATTAAAGGGAATAAAGAAGCATAACAACTGAAAGTAATATATTATTTGGAGAAGAATGAAGATTTCTGGACTGGATTTCTAAATTAGAGAATATTAATTTATCAAATTAAATTTCTACTTATGGTAATTGTACTGTGTTTATATTAGAAGAAACTGAATTTTGTTTTGTTTTTTAGAAAGTAAAGTGTAGTATTTAGAAGGAAAGAAGCATCATGTTTGCATCTAAAATAGTTCAGAAACTACATATGTATGCATGTCTGTGCATATCTGGCATCTGTCTACCAATGAAACCTAATAAAGAGTTAATAGAAATTATTTGTAGTATACTTGCAACTTTTCTATAACTGTATAAATTATTTCAAAAAATACATAAAAGGAAAATACCTAATAAATATAAAATTAAATTGTTATCAGTTAGCTTTCAGTGCTCCTGTGAGTGCACACAGTCAATGCATCTCAGTGCATGTGTGGGATTTTAAAATATGAGTATACATGAATACATGCATATTTTTCTGATACATAGAACAATAATGTACATAATAAACTATAATGAGCACTTGTATGCCAGATACTGGATTAGATGATTTACATGTAAAATTTTGCATACAAGGAACTATGTTCAATATCTTATAATAACCTGTAATGGAAAATATAATAGAAAATAATATATATCCCAGGTATTTTTTAGTTTCTTCTTTGATTTCATTGTTGACCTTTTTTTTTTTTTTTTTTGATTTAAGTATAGTCAGTTTACAATGTGCCAGTTTCTGGTATACAGCATAATGTTTCAGTCATACATATACATACATATACTTGGTTTCATATTCTTTTTCATTATAGGTTCCTAAAAAATACTGAATATAGTTCCCTGTGCTATACAGAAGAAACTTGTTTATATTTTTTACATACAGTTAATATTTGCAAATCTTGAACTGTCAGTGTATCCCTTCCCACCCCCTTTCCCACTGGTAACCATAAGATTGTTTACTATGTCAGTGAGTCTGTTTCTGTTTTGTAGATAATTTCATTAGTGTCTTTTTTTCCATTTTTAGATTCCACATGTGAGTGATATATGGTATTTTTCTCTTTCTGGCTTACTTCACTTAGAATGACCTTATCCAGATCCATCTATGTTGCTGCAAATGGAATTACTTTATTCTTTTTTACTCATTTGTGTCATTTTTTAAGATCCCACATGTAAGTGATAACATATGTTATTTTCCTTTCTGACTTACTTAGTATGATGATCTCTAGGTCCATCCATGTTGCTGCAAATGGCATTATTTTATTCTTTTTTATGGCTGAGTAATAATCCATGATATAAATATACCACAACTTCTTCATCTAGTCATCTGTCAATGGCCATTTAAGTTGTTTGCATGTCTTGGCTATTGTAAATAGTGCTGTGAACATTGGGGTGCATGTATTTTTTTTGAGTTAAGAGTTCCCTCTGTATGTATGCCCAAGAGTGGGATTGCTGGATCATATGGTAAGCCTATTTTTGTTTTTTTGAAGAAACCCCATAATGTTTTCCATAATGGCTCCACCAAACTATACTCCAACCAACAGTGTAGGAGGGTTCCCTTTTCTTTACAGTCTCTCTAGCAGTTATCATTTGTGGACTTTTTAATGACGGCCACTCTGACCGGTATGAGGTGATACCTCATTGTAGTTTTGACTTGCATTTCTCTGATAGTGATATTGAGCAGTTTTTTCATGTGCCTATTTGCCATTTGTATATCTTCACTGGAGAGTTGCTTGTCTCGATCTTCTGCCCATTTTTGGATTGGGTTTTTTTTTTGTTATTAAGTTGTATGAGCTGTTGATATATTCTGGAAATTGAGTCCTTTGTCAATCACATCATTAGCAAACATTTTCTCCCATTCCATAGGTTGTCTTTTTGTTTTGCTTATGGTTTCCTTTGCTGTGCAAAAGCTTATAAATTAAATTAGGTCCCATTTGTTTATTTTTGCTTTTGTTTGTATTGCCTGGATGGACTACCCTAGGAGAATACTGCTAAGATTTCTGTCAGATAATGTTTTGCTTATGTTTTCTTCTAGGAGGTTTATAGTGTCTTGTCTTATGTTTAAGTCTTTAAGTCATTTTGAGTTTACTTCTGTGTAAGGTGTGTGGGAGTGTTCTAACTTCATAGGTTTACATGCAGCTGTCCAGTTTTCCCACCACCATTTGCTGAAGAGACTGTCTTTTCTCCATTCTTTTTTTTTGCCTCCTTTGTCGAAGATTGACCGTAAGTCTGTGGGTTTATTTCTGGGCTGTCTATTTTTTGTTGATCTATATGTCTGTTTTTATGCCAATATCATGCTGTTTTGGTTATTCCTCCAGCTTTGTTCTTTTTCTTCAGTATTGGTTTGGCAATTCTTGGTCTTTTGTGATTCCATATAAATTTTAGGATTACTTGTTCTAGTTCTGTGAAAAATGTCCTGGGTAATTTGATAGGTGTAGCATTAAATCTGTAGGTTGCTTTGGTAAGTATGGCCATTTTAACAATAGTAAGTCTTCAAATTCAAGAATATGGGGTGTCTTTCCATTTCTTTAAGTCATTTTTAATTTCCTTAGTCAGTGTTTTGTAGTTCTCTGTGTTTAAGTCTTTTACTTTCTTAGTCAGATTTATTCCTAAATTTTTTACTTTTTTAGATGCAATTTTAAAAGAGATTGTCCCTTTACTTTCCTTTTCTGATATTTCATTTTTATTGTAAAGAAATGCCACTTACTTCTGTTAGTTAATTTGGCAAGGTAGCCATATACAAGATTCTTTTATTAGTTCTAGTAGTTTTCGTGTGGAGCTTTTAGGGTTTTCTACATATAGTATCATGTCATCTGCATATAATGACAATTTTACCTCTTCTCTTCCAATCTGGATCCCTTTTATTTCTTTTTCTTATTTAATTGCTATGGCTATGGCTTCCAATACTTAAACTGAATAGAAATGGTGAGAGTGAACAATCTTGTCTTGTTCCAGAGTTTAGCAGAAAGGCTTTCAGCTTTTCACCATTGAGTATTATGCTGGCTGTAGGTTTGTCATAAGTAGCTTTTATTATGTTGGGACAGGTTCCCTCTATACCTACTTTGGTAAGAGTTTTTATCATAAATTGGTGTTGAATTTTATCAGGTGCTTTTTCTGCATCTATTGAGATGATCAGGTGATTTTTGTCCTTTGTCTTGTTGATGTGGTGTATCACGTTGATTGACCTGTGTATGTTGAACCATCCTGTGTCCCTGGGATTAATCCAACTCGATCATAGTTTCTGATCTTTTTTATGTGTTGTTGGATTCTGTTTGCTAATATTTTGTTGAGGATTTTTGCATCTATGTTCATCAACAATATTGGTCTATGGCTTTCTTTTTTTGGTAGTGTCTTTACCTGGCTTTGGTATGAGAGTGATGGTGACTTCATAGAATGAGTTGGGAAATATTCCCTCCTCTTCAGTCTTTTGGAAGAGTTTGAGAAGGATTGGTATGAGCCATCTGGCACTGGACTTTTGTTTGCAGGGAGGTTTTTTATTGCTTATTCTATTTCACTTCTAGTGATTGGTCTGTTCAAATGATCTGTTTCTTCTTGATTCAGTTTTGGTGGACTGTATGTTTCTAGAAACTTGTCCATTTCTTCTAAGTTGTCCAATTTATTGCCATATAGTTGTTCATAGTTGTCTCCCTTTTTTTAATTTTAGGGTTTTTTTGCTATTCATAAGAAAATGAAAATAACACAGTTGGATTGGATGATTCTGGACCTGGAAATTGTCATTCTAAGTGAATTAAGCCAGAAAGAGAGAAAAATACCATATGATATCAGTCATGTGTGAAACAAAAAAAAAAAAAAAAGAGGACACTAATGAACTCATCTACAAAACAGAAACTGACTTGCAGACATAGTAAACAATCTCATGGTTACTGGGGGAAAAGGGATGGAAAGGGTTAAATTTGGGAGGATAAGCACTATGTACAAAAATAGGTAAAAACAAATTTCTTCTGTATAGCACATGGAACTATATTCAGTATCTTATTATAACCTTTAATGAATAAGAATATGAAAACAAATACATGTCTATATTCATGATCCAGACATTATGCTGGAAAAATGAGGAACAGATAGGATAGATTTGATGGATGGTGTAAAAGGAAGTTTCAACAGAACTTCATCAACTTTGTATATATTCAACAAATCAGAGTGCCAAACAAGAAAATTTTGTATTTTTAACCTAAGGTACAGAGAGGACAAGAGAAAAATGATAAAGAATTATGTTCACTATATAAAATATGAGGAGTTTTTTTTTTTTTTTTTTTTTGGAAACACTGAGAGCAAAGCATTTTTGACAACTTCAGTTTTGTTTTTGGTTTTTGGGGTTTTTTTTTTTTTGAGACATTTACTCAGTGCCTACTGTCATGAATCATGGCAGCATCTTTGAATAATATAAATATATGAATAAAGGTCAATGAATATATAATTATCCTGTAACAGTGTTTTAATCACTTTATATGTGCTTTTTACTTAATCCTCAGAAAATTCCAAATTTAACAGAAGTGAAGAATAAGGGACAGAACAATGAAATAATATTTTTAAGATCTGGTAGATAATGAATGGAAGAGCTTGGGTTCTAATTCATATCTTTCTGCTTTCAATTTCTTTATTCTTTTTAATGACTTTCTAAAGATGTTATAATCACAGAGGAAAAATAATAAACAAAATTATTGTATTTATGGCAGTATAAATGTAACATAAGATATTGATGAGACTCAGGTTGGTTCTCAAGGAGAGCCCAAATTTGGTTGAAAGCTCATGGGAAAAAAATCTTTAGGGAGGTGGTGATATTTAGAGTATATTTTGACAGGGACTTATGGAAAAACTGGGAATCCAGAAAATATAAATAACTGAATATGACCTCACCATCAGAAATGGGGCCTGAATTATCAATGATGGTAATTGCAATAGTCACATCACCAGAGAGAAGGAAAAAAGATAATGGGTACACACTCTTCATTGAAGTAGGGATGGTGCACCAACCATCTTGCATTTAGCTCTCAGCATCCACTCTCCTCTCTTCTCATATTTTCACCTACTCCAGGTTCCTTTGCCTTATAGCTGGATTTATCTAAGTACATGAGGTTACATGGTCTTTTTCTGGATATTGATACTAATACCTTCCCCATTTACCTTTAGTCTTAGGGTTGGCAAATTCTTGGTACTACAATTTTTTGAAGTTTCCCAACACTCAAATTCTGTAAATAACCCCCTTTTAAATAAACTCTCCTCATATAATCCAATTTCAAGTGGGCCATCTGCTTCTTATTGGAACTCTTCTGGACACAGATGGCTTTATGGAAAAGGTATCCAAATTAAAGAAAGTAAAGAATTCAGTAAATTGGAGTAAGGAAAGGAAAGTCCATGTATGAATGAGTAACCAGGACCAGAGTAAATGTGACTTAGTAAAAACACTTTAAAAATTAAAACTATTATGCAAACAATGCAGAACGTAGATGGTCATGCCAACAATGATGACAGGGACTATCTTGAGTTACCAGAGTGTGATCGGAGAAGGAACTGGTAAAACTAAAATTAAGTTTGGAACCAGAAGAGGAGCAGGAATTAAAGCAGGGACCTTGACAAAGCTGATACAAAGTTATTGATAAGAAAGGTAGCATAAAACCAAGAGAGAATGTCATTAGTCAATGACAGAGGGAGAACATTTCTGGGTAGGAGGTCAATATTTCACATGTTTTCTTTGAAAAATACTTTCTGTGACCTGGCTTCTTGTTAGTCATGCATCTATATTACAGAACAGAATAGTGATGGTAAAAGTTGAATCATAGAGGATAAATGTGATACTGTGGTGGTGATGGGGTGCTAGTGGTAGTACAATTCAGAATGATGGTGAAGAAAGCAGTAGTGTTGGGGATGAAAGATATGACAAGACTGGATTAGAACTTTAGTAAGGAAGAATAAGAGAGGTATCAGATAGTTGATGTGGAACCAGGTTATAGAATCAAAAAAAAAGTGCTTGAGTCATTTCTATTTCTTTATAATTTACAGAAGTACAGACTGAGCATCCAGTTGAAAATGTAGAACTGATGAGCACAGTGACACTGAACTAACATTACAGCCATCACTAAAGTGAATAAGCGAATTTGAGAAAATTCCCAACACTCCATCATTATTTCTGGGTCCATAATTTCCTGCCTCTTCACTCAGTAGAGATAAGACACATCACACACTGCATTAATACTCCTGCATATGCACTTTTTCATTTTGCTGATTCAGTAGCTCCAAAACCTGTTACTCTCCTTAGCTATGACTTGTTTAGAGAAACTAAGCCATCCTTGGAAGAATTCATTTTTGAACATAAAATCCACAATCTTACACAAGAACACCCAGAGAAATAGTTTTATAAAGTGATAATTTAGAGTTTGAAACACAATTTTCTCCAAGAAAGGGAGATAAAATTTGCATTCATTAAGAACTTACAATATACATTGGTCTGGGCTTTGTGCACTACTTGTACTATTTTAATCTTTTTAAATATTTTAATCATCAATAGGGCAGCCAGTAAGATTGGATGATATTGATACAATACTGGCCATTAAATGACTGTTAACTCAAGTTCTTGGAAATAGATAGTAGCTTCATCTGCTTCTAATAATAATGAAGTATAGAGTAGTTAAAAATATATACTAGTCATACAGAGAGAAATGGATGACTGAAGGAATCATTAAACCTCTGGGCCAGCCCACAAAAGCTTATGTATCTTATAGTGTAGGTGACATTCTTTCTTTAGTTGACATATTTATTAGGCATTTACTCTGTTTCAGACACAATGCTTGGTGGGATAAACATAAGAAGTCAACTCTGGCTGTAGAAAAATATGAAGTCATTAAGACCAAAAGCAGTTATATAATTTTCAATTGCAGAATGGATTCAATAGGCTTTGGAGTCTAGCCTGGAAAAGTTATCTAACATCTTGGGTTTTATTTTCTTAAAAACTCAGGCAGCCTTTCAGAAGGAGAGGAAAGGACTAGGAAAATAACATTTATTAACTGTGGCAAATATTTTAACTCATTTATATCACTTTATAATAATAATAATAATTGGAAGGAGGATAGTTTAGAACAGTGCTTCCCAAACATGTTCACATTGGGCACATAGAAAAAAAAAAGAAAATATTTGTATAACATATTTGAGATAACTGGAAGGATTGTGAGGGCATCTACATGGAGCTTAATTTTTTAATTAAAAAAGTTGTATTATCTTAATATGAACAGAAAAAATATTATATTAGATTTTCAAACCTCAGTGTTTTTCACATTTTGATAAGAACTTGATTTTATTACTGTGACTATAACTGCAGGAGATATCTATCTATCTATCTGTCTATCTATATATATATATAAAAAATTTTATAACTTTTAGAAATAATTTATGCTTTACATAGTTACATACAATTCCAGATTAAGCCATTTTAAAATTAACTTTAAAAAGCTAATGTATATACTTGGTTTAGTAAATCAAATGATGCAAAAGGGTTATAAAAAATAGTTGTTTCCTGACGCATATCTTCTCACTTCCGTGGTTATCCCTCAAAGGCAAGCTCTTTCAACTCTTCTGAGATAATGTGCTTACACAGCTTTACTTTCATTCATGAACTTTAGAAATTATCTTGTGAATTACTGTTAAAGTGCATGTGAATTTCTTTCTCAAAACCGACATCCTTTTTGCTTCCCCTATCCCACTGTTCCAATATTGTGATTAAATTTTTACTTATATCATATTGATGTTGTTTCCAGTATTATCCTTAAGTAGGATTATTCTCAAACTGAGCATTGCAGCATATTTGTTTCCTTTCTTTTAATTTTTTTTGAAAGCAAATACTTCTTTTTTGCTTATTTTGTTGGTCCTCTTCCTATATGTTCTATAGCCTCTCAGTACAATTTTCCACAAAGTCAGTCTTATTATGTAATCTGTCATTTCCTATTTATTCTTAGAGACTTTCCTCTTAGAGATGGTTATTCTCCTTTCTAGACTGAGTGCTGACAGGCCTGCTGCACAGCTTGGCTGTCTTTGGATCACATTGATGCTGTCTGCACTGGCCCCAGTTTGCACTGAGCTTACGTTTGTCTTTTGTCTTATACAATTACTTGTCAAGTAGGACATTCTCTGTGATTAGTTCCTGTGGCCAGTCACTTTTTTCCTTGTTTCTTCTGTATATCATGTCTTTTTCTTCCTCTATGTTCCTTTCTTACCTACCTTTTTTAAGACAAAATAATCAAATATTTATTTCAATGTTTGGAATCAAAACAGTTTTAGGTTCTTAAGAGTATGAAAAATGCATTTTTTATTGGGATAAAAACAATAACAAAATTTAACATCTTAACAATTTTGAGTGTACAGTATAGTAATGTTAACTGTATGCACTCTGTTGTGCATTAGATCTCTAGAATTTTTTCATCTTGGAAAACAAATTGTATACCCACTGAACAACAACTTCCCTTTTTATCTTTCCCCAGCCCCTGGCAACCATTATACTTCCCTTTTCTAAGAGTTTGACTTCTTTGAGAACCTTCTACAAGTGGAATCATGTAATATTTGTCTTTTTGCAGCTGGCTTATGTCACTTAGCATAACCTACTGAAGCCTCATCCATGCTGTAGCATATGACAGGATTTCCTTGTTTGTAAGGCTAAATAACACACCCTTTGGTGTATATAACACATATTCTTTATCCATTCACCCATTGATGCAGTTATTTTGCTTCCACATCATGATTATTGTGAATCATGATGCAATGAACATGAGTGGGCAAATATCTCTTCAAGATCCTGTTTTCAATTCTTTTGGATATGTACTGAGAAGTGGTATTTTATCATATGGTAGTTCTATTTTTAGTTCTCTGAGGCGCCTACATATTGTTTTCCATAATTGCTGCAACACTTTACAATCCCACTGGCATTGCACAAGGGTTCCAATTTCTCCACATCCTTGTCAACACTTGTTATTTTCTTTCACAGTGGCCATCTTAAGGGTATAAGGTGATATCACATTGTGGTTTTAATTTGCATTTCTGTAATGATTAGTAATGCTGAGTATATTTTCATATATTTTTGACCATGTGTATATCTTCTTTGGAGAAATGTCTATTCAAGTCCTTTGCCCAGTTTTCAATCAGATTATTTTGTTGTTGAGTGGTAGGTGTTCTTTATGTATTCTGAATATTAACCCTGTATCAGATACGGCTTACAAATATTTTCTCCAATTCTGTAATTTTTTTTACTCTGTTGATTGTTTCCTTTGCTGTAGGTCTCTTAATTCATTTTGAGTTAATTTTTGTATATGGCATAAGGTAAATGTCCAATTCTGTTCTTTTGCATTTAGATACTCACTTTTCCTATCCCATTTGTTGAAGAGACTGTCCTTTCTCCATTGTGTAGCCTTAACACCCTTTGAAAAATTATTTGATCATGTGATCATTTGTGGGCTTATTTCTAGGAGAAATAGAGAATTCTGTTCCATTTTTGTCTTTGTGCCAGTATCATACTCTTTAGATTGCTGTAGCTTTGTAATGTTTTGAAATCAGAAAGATTGATACCTCCTGCTTTGTATTTCTTTCTCAGAATTGTTTTTGCTGTTTGATATTTTTTTACAATTTCATATGAATTTTAGATTTTTTTCTATTTGAATGAAAAGTGCCATTGGGATTTTGACTCTGATAGCTTTAGGTAGTATAGACATTTTAAAAATATTAACTCTAACAATCCATGAATATGAGATCTTTGTATTTATTTGGGCATTCTTTAATTTTTTCAGCAATGTTAAGTAGTTTTAAGTACAAGTCTTTTGCCTCCCTGGTAAATTTATTCCTAAGTATTCTATTATTATGATGCTATTTAAGTGGGATTGTTTCTTTAATTTCCTTTAATTGTTCATTGATAGCATATAGAAGTGCAACTGATTTTTGTATGTTGGTTTTTAAATCCTGCAGCTTTGCTGAATTTGTTTATTAATTTTAACAGTTTTGTGGTAGAGTCTAGGATTTTCTACTTATAAAACTGTCATCTGCAAACCAAGAGAATTTTGCATATTCTCTTCCAATTTAGATATGTTTATTTTTCTTGCCTAATTGGTCTGGCTGGGACTTTGAGTTCTATGTTGAATACATATGAGAATGGACATTCTTGCCTTGTTCTTGATCTTAGAAGGAAAGCTTTCAAGTTTTCATCATTCAGTGGGATAGCTGTGGGCTTTTCATATATGACCTTTATTATGTTGAAGTAATTTCCTTCTATTCCTGTTGTAGTGAGTGTTTTTTATCATAAAAATGTTGAATTTTGTTAAATCTTTTTTTCTGCATCACGAGGTGATCATTTGACTTTTATTCTTCATTCTTTTATTGTGGTGTGTTATGCTGATTGATAAAACTTGAACCATCTGTGCATTCCAGAAAAAAATCCCTCTTGGTAAGAGTGTATAATCTTTTTGATGTGCCGTTGTGTATGGTTTGCTTATATTTTGTTGAGAATTTTTCCATCAGTATTTAGCAAGGAAGTAGTATTTTGTCTGATTTTTTCATCAGGGTAATGCTAGCCTGATAAAATGCTTTTGGAAGTAATTTTTACTTTT